TTTGTGTCCATTGCCATGTCACCTGATTGTGCCATATCAACGTTAGCATGAGGTTTAAGCGTTGAAAGTGCTTCACGTGCAGCATTCAGTTCTTTGGATAGACGAGCTATCACACGACAGGCTCCATCATGCTAGAAATTAACTTCTGAATGTCGTATAACATTCACTGTTTATTGATATTACTGCAAGTAATGTTGATATATTTTGAACATAAAGATTGGAAGAAACAATCCATTTATCAATGAAATATAAACCTGATAAAGTGTATGTGACAGTTCCTGTCTTGCCGTTTGTAATTGTTCACGTAACATGAAACTATTCAACATGCATGCATCCCATTCATCTTGCAGTAATTTTAGTAACGATGGTATTGACGTTCCTGAGATGGTTCTCGGCATTGCATTAGATCCATCTGTTTTCAGTTCGATTAGCTAAAAAGCAACAATAATCATACACAGATTCGCAAATGAATTTGATAAGTGGTAATAAGAATTTGATTTCACAAGTAAACAGCAATCCAATAAACGATTAAACAGAGGAGAACCTGTTCAACGGTGAGTGGTTGATTGGTAATGGGATCAGTGCCATTCTCGTTGATATATTTTGTTATAAGTCGTTTTTCAAAGATACGTCCAGAAGCTGGTGATACAACCGGTACTTCAGCTGGTTCATTGCTTATCGAGCACGTATATAATGCAGTCATTTTACCTTGGATTCAAGTTCAGTCAATCACAGATTTTAATTATTGTGCGACGACCATAATCATTTTAAATCAAACAAGCCACCTCATGATACACAAGCAGGACTAAACACGAATGATTCAGACAATATCAAAAAAGTATGGTTTCCGTGGGTCAATAGATGAAACACTGGAGCTTTGAAAAGAAAACTGCTGCGGTGAAATTATATAAGGCAAAAACCTAAAATGCATAATATATCTATACTAAACAAACATAAAAACTGTTTGAATTCATGAAATGGAAAGTTACACAATAGAAAGTGTAGAGCACGAACTGCTCACTGATTTGTTAGAACGCTTATAAGCAAAAAAATGTATTTGTTTGAATAAATGCTTTCGAAGCGTACCAAATTCTAGTAAAAGTGCAAAACGAAATAAATTTGGGAATGCACTAATAACAATGCGGCTAAATATCGATGGTTTTCGCAAAATTAAAGCGTGAATAACGTCAAAATCCTTCGACAATTACGAAGGCCGACAAATATTAAA